AAACAACCATACGTCTTGCAGAATAAAAATTATACTTTAACCTACCAAGTAGACCCAAAAACAGTCTACTTTGAAACACATTCATCAACCGATTAAGAGCTTGAACGAGTAAACCATCTTTTTCATTGTCTAAGCGGTTACGGTAGTTTGTTATTTGATTTAAAGCTAGATGTGCATCTATAAAAACATAAAACAAAAGTACATTTTATAGTTACAATATATAAATTCAGTGCTATCAAATATGACGCGATGGGTAGTTACAAATTTCCATTAGTTTAAAGAAAACGCAATAGTCTGTACTTAAGAAATACGCCGTCAAACTTCAAAACCGTAAGTAAATATTGAAGTATGACAACTTTACACTACTGTATACGTATCGCTTAATGTGTAGTTACTGCCAGCCAACACTAAAAATAAACTTTATAAGAAGCTGGCTGACTGTAGATAGCTTTGAAGAATATTCGTTTTCGCTCCGAAAAATTCCGCCTTCTTGTTGTTAATTTGCAGTTATATTGTATGAAAATATCATCAATATGTACAACACCTCATACCACACCCATATTCCATAAACATCTTTGACGTGTTCAGTTAGTAATGAAAACTGAAGAAAATGACGTAGATACTGTGTAACGTCTTAAAGTATCATTCAATTTGTCCCGGAAGCAAGGCCATTTGAAAAGCCACTGTCCACCAACTTCAACATTTGAAGTTTTCAAGTAATGTTGCAGCAAAAATCACATAACGTCTGGGTAAAAATGTGCAGTTTTCTAGCACAGATATGAAATAATTAATTAAATTAAACTTTGAATACCTACAAGTATTGTTATCCTAATCTTACTGATAAGTCTTCATAAACTTTCTGGCTGCAGGTCACGATTTATGTTTTCCAGCTTTCTAGAAATAACTACGTTCACAGTTTATACCGCACCTTAATTACACTTCTTTGATTTTTATATAATGACGTATAGTCAGTTCCAGAAAATACTTATTTTCATGAAACATATCTCCATAGGCTTCAAAGAAACTTCATTTATAATGTACATAACAGAAAATGTATGCTACAAATCGAGCCGGTATAGTTTTTTTTACACACAATGCACAAAGATAGCTTATGTAATGAATTTGACTTCAGATTTTTTCGTGATTTCAATCAAAATCAACTAACTGTTGATTTTCTAGTGGCACTATTGTCGTATTTAGTTATATTTCATAGCCTTCCTTATGATTATTGATACACTTCTCACAATTACACTGTTTTCTGGGAAGCTTGAGTCGTCATCCCAAAAATTTAGTTTTAAAAAACCTGAGAAATTAAAATGCCTTGGGTGAATAGGAATCATAGAATTCCAAATTACGGTGACATAAATTTCGCAGTCACTTAACCAGTCTGAATGATTAGATAATTATGTTCTTAAACTGCGTAACGCTAGCACCCTTCCTTAGTAAAAATCTTGAGTATTTATAGAAATTTCCAGGCGATTCGCTTTAATGAGTTGATCAGTCATGTGCAATGTGAAACCTGTTCTTTAATACTTTGCCTAAAATCCGAAAAATTCAACGGTTAAAAGGTAACCTTATCATATTCAGGTTAAAAAAAATTGCACAACTATCTGTCAGATAAGCAGGGCACATAAATTACTGCTTGTTTCTAAATAAGAAAATACCAGATGAATATTTACATGCAATCAACGTAAAAATTGATGAAACAGTGCATGATCAATCTTAATCAGTAACCAGAATGGGGTTCACTAGGAGTGACAAGCTATTTTAATCTTTTCCATCTAGATGGCAATAATGTATTCAGTATACGAAAGGATTATAAGAACTAATCCTACACTTCTAAGCTTCCGAAAATCAAATCACACTTGTTTTCTAACGTAATGAGTGACATTCCTACCGTGAATAAGCCACAACGTGATCAAAAAAAGTTGACATACTTGACCAACCACTTGGCCTCAAGCAACCTCATCTCTACTCAAGAAATAATTATCTTCTATACTCGTAATAAAAAAATAACAAATTTTTGATTCTTTACATCCGTGCTTATTTCAAAGCTTACCGAAAATCTGGGACCACAGTTTATAATTTAATATAGTTGAGCTTTCACGGGTGAGAACTGAGTTCATTTATAGCCCGCTTCCTTTGGTTGCAATAGACCTTACCTTATTTATCAGATCAATGATTTCAACTTTATATTTACTTCGTCCCTGTGCACGTAATCAAAACTATTGTAAAATTAGTAAATCGAAAACTAATTACGAGACAGACTTCGGAAATACCCACAGAAATCACAACCGGTACTCCAAAATTGAAGGATTTGTCAAATAATTTATCAACCAAATTTTCAGATTACGGTTTCATAACCATTGGTTGATAAAACGTCTGTGGAATCTGGCGTACATATCAAGTACAGTTTTTTTTGCAAACAACCGACGCTTATGTATAGCACTAATTTATCAACATTCCCCACTTAGTATCATAATAAACATGATAACGAATTAGGTTGAACATATTACTGCCAGACTACTTCCGAGAATACTTTGTAGAACTGTAGGTCATATTCGGTCTTAAGATTTGAAATGTAAAGCTAGACCAGTGAGTTTATGGATAAATATGAAGGATAAAAAACAAATCATTCTAGAATTTACGGCGGTTGCAAAAACGTCTTTTGAACAAGGCAGATCATTTAACATAAAGATCTATATAGACCCAACATCAGACAATGAAGAACTGAAAGATCATTAAGAATTACCAAAGGCTTGATAAATAGAGTATTTAATATTAATGCTATATTCTCAAAAGGAAATCGATAAATCCGCATTTTATAACTTTCAGGCTCATCGTTTATCTTTGGTAAGCTGTTGTATTCATCTAGGAGTACAAGAAGAAACCAGAGAACAACAGGCTGGTTTTTCTCCTTAATATGGTTTAGAAATATAATGAGCATACTGATGTTGTACACTTGTTATAACGTGTCACCCGCATAAGTTGTAAATGGGTGATATCGCATTAATTTGTGCCGGAATATTAGAGAAATATAACTAAGTTTAGATGAATATGGTTGGAAATAAACGGGTGGGAGTTTAATTTATGGACTACCTTTGAGCGATGCTGAAGTGACCTTTGAGAAGTGTAACCATTTGCTAGGGTTCGAGGTGTTAAAAACCAGTGTGAGATATTAGGGTTAATATTTAGAGTCGGTAGTGAGGGTTGAAAATGAGAGCTAGTGTTTTTGACACGAAATGACATCAGCTATAATGAGTTTAATTTAAACCTGGATTTGACTTATTTTTTCCGTAAATCTTCGTCCCATCAATAATTGTCCTGTTGGGAAAATGTGAAAGTGTGGGGATATATCAAAACTAAAAATCTGAATAACTTGTCATTATTATATAAACTGATCTTTCATGAGAAGTCAATTAAAGAAACTTGTGGGAAAAGTGCACGCGCAAAATAAAAGGCTCGTCCCTAAAATACAAATCTAATAACGGGATTAATCTTCCACCAAATATTTCATAGGTAGAAAAAAAATACTTAGTTTCAGTCAGCGTTTCGACAGATAGTATGTCTTGAAGTAACCCTAGTATGGGAGAACAACTAAAGCACATCATCAAACGTACTCAATACAATTTCAAAATTTAAAATGAGGACTGGGTATTAACAATGTCCAGTTTGTCAAATATATCAGGCTTATATATAAGCCAAAACTGATAAGATTTTCTACAAAATCAAGGGATTGGGTACATTCACTGTACCAAGTTGTACGGAAATTATAAGTCTTAGACCACTGGAACATGCACCGCGTTTTATTTGAAAATGGGAAAATTGTAGCTAACTTGAATAAATGTATATGGTTAATGTGAACTTACCTCTTTTGTTTTTACAAACAACCATTTTTTCATGTTACCGCGTTTTTGCACATGTACTGTATTAATTGTTTTGAAATACTTTAACAAACCGTAACTCATGCCTGTTTATAGAAGTAAACATTGTACGAGAACGATAGCTAGGATCAGTGTGAGGGTCACTATTAGAAAAATAACTTTATTTCCGAAGCATTATTCAGCACTGATTTGATAATTATTATGTCAAATTTGAGAGCAGACAAAGGCATTTTACCACTTCTTCCTTCTCCCGTTTTTCTACTCAGCCAACGTATCATCATCGCCATAAGATGTGCAACAGAAAAGATTGAAGTGCAAATATGCTTATTAATTCCTAATACATTTTGTAGATTTCTAGTCATATAATATGTTTAGTCTCAAAACTGACATCAGTGATATTTACAGAAGAATATCTACTAGGATAGGAATGAAATTCCACTAGGCAATTAAGTGCCTGCATTAAAGAAGTCTTCCAGACTGATCGATCAAATAATCGTTTCGTAGAGGTTCGTGGAGTTCGTAGGGTTTCTGGGACACCACATCGACTCACATGGTATCACACCACTACAAGAAAAAGTAGAAGCTATTATCGATAAAAAAGAAACAAAGTTAAAAAGACGATGTCTTCACTTTGCTGCTTTATTCAAAAACTGCTTTTGATAAAGCAAAGTCTATGATGCCAAATGCTACTATACTGCAACACTTAAATTCTGAACCCAAAACACACCAAATTTCTGCACTCATACATCTCAGAAAGCTGTAGGTGCGGTATCACAACAACGAGTAGACGACATTATTACACACAAAACATTCTTCACTAAACGACTCTCGTCAGCTCAGGAACGTTACAGCACCTTTGGATGTGAGTTACTAGCTGTTTATTTAGCAACAAAGCATTTCGCCTTCCTGTTACAAGAACGTGAATTTACGATAATGACTGATCATAAACCCTTATATTATTCCCTTAACACGTCATACTTCCAGCATTTACCACGCGAAGCACGACCGCTGGATTATATCTCACAATTCGCAACAAATATCCAGTTCATCAAAAGGACATTTTAATATCGTAACCGACTGTGGTGTTTGAATTAACTAATGATTCTTTTGGTACTTGTTGAATGCTCGATTTCGAATTCTAAATACAATACATTCGTTTGTGCCTGTGTCTTCTTAATTCAATTGCGTTAATCCTGGAATTCCTAATTCATACTATAAGTAGAATACTATATTGGCGTCGCGATGGAGCCTGCAATGGAAAAGTTAGATATTCATTCAACTTCAGAAGCTTTTGAAGATTACTTTGAAAGGTTCGAAATCTGGGCTATGACCAAGGAAGATGATGAGGATGTTAATATTGTGGCACACTTCCTGACATTCATTGGAAAAGAAGCATACAGCTTATTAAGAACTCTGGCTATGCCGGAAAAACCCATTTCGCTTTCTTATACAGCTCTCAAGGATCTACTGCTAGACTATGCTCAGTATACAAATTTCAAATGTCGTAAAGGAGGAAGATTTCGTAAAATGATTCATGAGGATATAAAAAAGTCCACTACATTACTACGTCATCTCAACCTAGTGCATACTCAAGGTTATGCAGACAATTCATTGAATTTGGATGCAGTTCACGAGGATGGGGACAAGTTTGGTCAGTGTTTGTCCTGTTGCAAGTTCCACTCTTCTAATTCATGTAAATTTCATAATTCTAAATGCTTCAAATGTCGTGATATTGGACAAGTTCAGTCAGTTTGTAATGCTAATGTTCATCTTACTGCAATTAATATTAAGTCTTGTAATTCTGATTCTACTGAGTCGAGTATTCATGATGATCATTTATCTTTATCAACGATTTCAAAAGACAGTGCAGAGTCATATGGCAGTTCAGAGTTAAATGAAATCCAGAATTCTTGTGAGACAACATTTCCTAATCAACCGATTTATCAGAATTCTCATGCTATTGTACCAAGTATGACTTTTCCTAATGATTCACATATTTCTAATGAAATTACTTGCAATTCTGAGGAAAATATGTTAAATGAACCTAATCATGATCAAAAACCTGATGTGGTTTGGATAGATGCTGATTTTTCTAACGATCCTACGCTCTGCAATGACAGTCCTGATGAATTTCATGAGAATATTTCAGAAGAATCAAATCCTGATGTCATATCATATATTACCTATCCTCATAATGTATTTGATCTTCGTGAAAAACCTGCCCAATGCGAAGCGCGAGTACTAAGTGACCTCGAGTTTTATTATATTTCGGATGATTTCATATCAACTGCTGTTTACTCTTATCACAAAAACAGTTCTAATGTTTACTCTAAACAATGTGAGATATATGTTTTAAATGAAGCCACATTATTCATAACTTGGGAGTATAAAGATCCAACATTATTTCGTGGGGGGGGATAGTGTTGAAAAATCTATGGTTCGAATTCTAGATATTAATGATTTCATTACAAAACCGACATGCTGGTTGTATACAATTCCAGGTGAGTCTGTTCCGATTTCGTTTGTTAATTCCAATACTAATGACCACTTTCTAGATACTACAAAGTTTTTATCTTATACAATGTCGGACAGACTCAGGATGAACTTAACAAGAAGACGTACAACCGATTACAAACACTTATACTTCTATTTAAGCTGTGGCGGATGTGGTGTTTGAATTAACTAATGATTCTTTTGGTACTTGTTGAATGCTCGATTTCGAATTCTAAATACAATACATTCGTTTGTGCCTGTGTCTTCTTAATTCAATTGCGTTAATCCTGGAATTCCTAATTCATACGATAATTTAGAATACTATAACGACACTTTTTCTCGAATGGATATCAATATGCTTGTACATAAACAAGATGTTAACCTCAAAACCACAGCTAAATTATAAGTATAGGGTGCAGAACTAAAAACCTTCAAAGAGAAGTACAACATGATTTTCAAACCTATGCCTATTCCTTTCTCTGATTTATCTATTGTCTGGGATGCTTCAACTCGTAACAGTCTTTTTTAGCAAAGCTTATCGACGAAGGATATTTCAACATCTATATGAACTCTCACACCCCATCATCAGTGCCGCAACCAGGCTTCCGGAAGTGAACCATATCAAAACAACAACTTACCATTCAGTAGTTAATTCGTTGGTTGAGAAAACTCACGGCCAAATGAAAAGCTTACTGGTGGCGCAATCTGATACATTGGAGTGACGCACTACCAACTGTACTACTTGGAATTCATTTAACTATCAATGAATATAATGGTCGCACATAAGTCGAACTAGTCTATGGTACAACCTTAACAATACCGGATCAACTAGTCGACCCTGATACAACATTGTCAACTGATCCAACCCGCCTTGAGAGCCACCACTTGCAAACTATGCAAAATGTTAAGCAATACTTCCGCGCGAGCATAACAATCGCGTACAGCTCGATAAACAACTGCAAACACGTAAATTCATCTCCATTCGAGTAGCTAAAGCAACCGTACGAAGGATCTTATCAGGTAATTAGACGGACAATAAACACTTCCTCATTAACAGAAATAAAAAGAAAGAAACTGTCTCTGTAGACAGAATTAAACCAGCTTTCTGCAAAGACCAGCAAGACAAGAAAATACTACCACAGACAAACAGCCTCTGCCATTATTTATTACGAACTTAGTGAAAGACAAAAAAACAAGCAGTAATCCTACATGTTTAACACTCTCAGGCAGAACTGTAAAGAAGCCCAAGCGTTAATTTCATTTTGCTGAATAACGAATCATAACAAACAATCACTATTAAATTCATTCGCTTTTGTAGTAAAAACTACTATTTTTCCGCACAAAGTGTATACAGTTAATTATATTTTTTCCATAACTAATCGTTTTTTCACATTTTTTAAAATTGTCGCAGTAATAGACAAGTGAATTCTCGACAGCTATTTATTAATTATAAATAAAAATAAACATTCAAACATTTTATCAGCATATCAATGGTTTCGCACATTATCACTCTTCCGCCCAATAACATAACATATAACAGTTAGGAACGAATCTGAGGATAGTTAGAGTCCCATTTGACGACAACACTTATCTTAGCCAAAAAAACTAACTTCGGCTCTCGATATCTGAAAATAATACCCAAGACAAAACGGATTAACATTTTGTAGCATAAGACTAGCCAGCTTGCCTGAAGAAATACATTGACTTGAGTAGCAGCAGCAAAAACCCGGAAAACAATGCCAAATCGAAGAAACTTTGCGCCAACGTTTAGAATATTACACTAACTGTGGTATTTTGGCATACTAAATCATTAAAGTATGTGGTTACACAAAAGAAATAGCTGAAAAAACACAGAACAAGGAAAGCCGACCGCCGTTGCCCACAAAGATGTCGGATATAATTATTATCGCTTCATTCTGATTGGTCACTAAGCAGACTGCCACGTTTACGAAATGCAGTTGCGTTTAATTGAAGCCTGACACACATATAACCGTTCACAAATACAGTGCTGCAAACACACATCGCTTGTTCTCCATTGCCTGTTGCTACAATAACTGAACTCTAAAATATATGTCATCTACATTCATAGACCACAATCATATTTTCATTATATATCCATCTGGCTTTAACGCTAGAATTATAACAAATTTCATTAGAATTATTAATCACCCGTAATTGTGGATTATTACACCGAATGCGGCCCAAACACGCCAAGGCCTGTCAATTTAAGTAACAATCCGTAACTTTTTCTTGTGTTTCATTATTATATTTAATATATTAAAACATTAATGCAATAACTTTCTTACCATTTTTGAGTTACTATAATTTTTGGCCCACCACAAGTTAAACAAATCCCCAAAATAGGTACGTCTATAGGCCCTCAGCTTTGATACTGACTTCATAAGTTTTACTGAGTGCACTCAGGCTGAATCTCCTCGTGAAAGCATCCACATTAGATCATTGTTGGATACGCTCTATTTCTTATCCATTGCAACAATTAAGCCTCTTAAGTTGTATACATCTCGAAACATCAACAGTTTTCCGAATATATCCTTAGACCTCTTCATTCTCAACTTCAAGTTTGACTGGCTTGTGCCCCTCAATTAGATGAGTGTTAATGACAAACGAATATCCATAATATATTTAGATTTTACATGGTATAAGTATTGAGCGATAAAAATATATGAAAGAACAATAAATTTGTCAGGAACTACGTGATTAGTTTTCCAAAAATCGGCTGCTACAGTCCGTTTTGCCCATATCTAGCTATTTTAGGGATTTGGTGTCATTTATGGATAGTCCGGGGACTATAATCACATATTGCCCAATATCAATTGCGAAAGAAACTCAGTTTTTGTCATCCGACCTTCGAGCAAATAAATTATATACCTTATTCATACCATACCACAGTGTCACAAAACATTTGCAAACGTGACTTAGAAACAATAATATTTTAACTGCTTCAACGTCTGGCTGAACTGTAACAGTGTGTTCTGGCTACAACCTCAACAAAGCCGCCTTGTAAAAACATAATAGTGTGGTATACGCAAACCACAAGGACTCCTGGAAATGAGGTGTAGCCGAGCGTGGCATCGAAGACGCAATAATTGTCGAACAGAGTAAAGGGTTTGGTTTTTCATACCCCCATCACCTATTTTATTTAAGTAGCAAAAACATCACCAATAAAACGTAGTCTGCAATATTATGCTATCCACACTCCTTAGACTTTTTACTCTTGATACATGAGCGTTATATTCATTTTTTATTGCTGAATACAGAAACTTTTTACCCGTAAACACAAGATGTGTAATATAAGGCGAATACATATAAAAAGGGGTAAGTTACAAAAGAACGAAGAATCTTCGACTAAAGTGAGTGATGTTAGCTGCGGAAGCAGAACTAAGGTGTTTTTTGATAGATAGATTAATTAAACAGACGTTCCTATGGAAGCCGATTCTAGTAGAAAGCTAATGTAACAGCTGAAGTTGATTGGTTAAGCGTTGACCTCAAACAATTAAGTATTTGTCAAAACAATAGAGATTAACTATTCATTCAATTCATTATTTTGTACAGGCATTATATTTGCTATTGTCTTATATTGATTGTTGAAAAAAGTGTGTTCAAACGAGTAACCTTTACTCCACCGTGTACTCGTTTCACGAGAAAATAAAGACCTATTCACTACTAGTATGGTTTCTTCTTTCAATAGGACGGTTAATACCTACAGGCGTGAAAACTGCATACGCAGCATAGTGAGAGTCATTATCAGTCACTAAAACCATGGGAATCGCATCTCGACTAAATACCCTTCTTAATGCTCGGATTGTGGATTCAAAATTTGGTGAAGTTGTGAAAAAATTCAGGCCAATTCGGAAACGAATCAATAACAACATATGCATAGTATCTGCCAAGAAATGAACCACAGTAGTTCGTATGGATTCTCTACCAGGCATCAGATAATACTGATCATGGAGTCCAATTCGAAGAGAGACTTTTCAACTTATAACACTTTCCAAAATCGTTTGCCACACGACATATATCCGCATTTATCTCCGGTCACCAACATGTGAGCTTTGCCAGGAACTTCATCTTGTCAACACCCAAATATCCACTATGACGATCTTCATGAACAGATTCACGTAATGAAGAAACAACAGCAACACTACCATTAAGACACAGAACACCATCTGGAGTAGTGGTGAGCTCGTACCGCCTTGAAAAACAGGCAGGAAATCTACGTGTCATATTGGCATTCCAAAATTTTCGTGTGGCACTGAGTACACATCCAAAGTATCGACGGGTTTATTTGACGATATCTTGATGTCTCACTGGTAAAGACTGCAATAACAAACGGTTTGAAGTATTGACAGATCTATCTTGTAATGATTGCCGATAAATATAGTCAACTCATTGAGCTTATTTGGCACCTCTTTGATGAATCGTATAGTCATAGGCACTCAAAGCAATACTCCATCGTTGAACCATGGCAGATGACGGACGTGCAATGGAGTTTTCAGGATGATAAATGAACATTAAAGCTTCATGATCTGTAACAATAGTCAATTTCTTTCCAAATAAATACTAATGAAGTCTTTTGACGGTCCAAAACACAACTAGTGCTTCTCGCTGAGATTGCGAATAACTTTGCTCATCAACACTAATTGTGCTTGAAACACAGATAACTGGTCTAAATTTCTACCTCAAAACCGTACCAATACCCACAGGTGATGCGCCAGTGATAAGTACAGAATGTACACTGGGGAGTAAGTTCGAGGAATAGCATCACTTTGAAGAAAATTCAGTAGACTTCGTAAGCATGACTCTTGTTGCTGACCCCATTTAAGCGTATTGGATATCAAAATATTAAGTAAACAATTGGCACAACGAGAAAAATCAGAGATTAAACGTGAATAATATTGAAGATCACCCACTAGTGAATGTGAATCTGTAAGATTTTTCTGAAATGGTGCATTTGTCAGTGGAGCTAGTTGTTTCATATCTGGTTTCAAACCATTACTATCAACTAGGTATCCAAGACATTCAAAACTAGATACACAAAATGAACACTTATTTGGATTCACCGTAATATTCTTCTCAATTAGACGACGCCAAAAAGCAATAAGTCTCCGGTCACGAACTACCTTATCAGAACCATGAACAATGAAACCACCTTGACCAACTCCAACACCTTCAAGATCACTGACTACCATACTAACCACTACCTGGTGTGGATAGAGAACAACTTAGACCGA